ATTAAACAAAATTTTTACGGCATATTCAGGCTATCATGCAGATGATTTATGTGAAGTTTGCTCGAATTCGTAAAAGGGGGTGTGGCACCTCCCATACTAACTAAAATTTGTATGCTGTATATCTCTTGAAATATTTGTGGTAGAGTACTGGAAGTTGGTATAGAGGTATATCAAATAATTCCATACTCATGGAGAAAAATGGGCGGTATTGGAAAAGAGGGCGTGGCACCTCCCGTCTTATATATAAAAAATAAGTACAAGATTTCAACCAAATTTATTCGGCATAGTCGGGCTATTATGCAGATAGTTTGTGTTAAGTTTCCCCGAATTCGGAAAAGGGGGCGTGGCACCACCCATACTAACTAAAATATAAAAATAAGTGAACGTTTTTGGTGTGATCATATAACTTGAGAACGGCTTCACCGAATTCAACCAAATTTATGCGGCATATTCGGGCTATCATGCAGATGGTTTACGTGAAGTTTGCTTGAATTCGGAAAAGGGGGCGTGGCGCCTCTATTTTATATATAAAAATTAGTGAGTTAGCTTATAACTTGAGAACGGCTTCACCGAATTCAACGAAATTTATATAGCTTATTCGGGCCATCATGCAGATATTTTATGTGGAGTTTGCCCAAATTTGGAAAAGGGGGCGTGGCATATGTATCTTATGTATAAAATAAGTACACGTTTTTGGTGTGAGCTTATAACTTGAGAACGGCTTCACCGGATTAAACAAAATTTTTACGGCATATTCAGGCTATCATGCAGATGGTTTATGTGAAGTTTGCTCGAATTCGTAAAAGGGGGTGTGGCACCTCCCATACTAACTAAAATTTGTATGTTGTATATCTCTTGAAATATTTGTGGTAGAGTACTGGAAGTTGGTATAGAGGTATATCAAATAATTCCATACTCATGGAGAAAAATGGGCGGTATTGGAAAAGAGGGCGTGGCACCTCCCATCTTATATATAAAAAATAAGTACAAGATTTCAACCAAATTTATTCGGCATAGTCGGGCTATTATGCAGATAGTTTGTGTTAAGTTTCCCCGAATTCGGAAAAGGGGGCGTGGCACCGCCCATACTAACAAAAATTTTCATCTGGTATATCTTTTGAAATATTTGTAGTAGATTACTGGAAATTGGTATAGAGACATGTGAAATAATTCCATACTCATGGAGAAAAATGTGCGGTTTGGGAAAGGGGGGCGTGGCACCTCCCATCTTAAATAAAAAAATAAGTGCACGAATTCTACCAAATTTAAACGGTAATTCTGACTATCATGCAGGCGGGTTATGTGAAGTGGGCCCGAAGTCGGTCCAGCGGTTCATGATATATGACAGTTTATGTCTGTCACATGAACCACGTATATGGTACAACAGCAGATACATGAAAAATCGAAAACATAGTGAAAAATTGTTGCTATAATGTGCTGTGTTTATTTTTTCTTCGGATAAATTAGTCAAGTATAAACATGGCTGCAAGTTTTTCAATAGGGATTTTGTAGAGCCAATGGAATGAAAGCACCACAACACAACATATCTGTCATTTCATCGTATTATCGAAAAGGTGGTCTACATTAATATTCGTCTTTCTATTTTGGACTTTGGAGAATCAACACGTGTGTTTAATATAGTTCTTAATTCATATTTCATTATATTTTTTTTCGTCAATTACAATATTTTTGCACAAATTTGTTGCAGCGTTTCGTACGAAAAGTTTGAGTACACTGGAAATTTTCCATGTATTTCTCCTCATTGATTTATAGTGAACAAAACCATTGTGGAAAATTGTGGCTGTGTTGTGTTCTTTGGCTTCGAATGAAGTTTTTTCAAGTGCTCTTTTACTGTCGATTGTGAATTTCATTTGATTATTTAAAAAAAAAGTGCGTTTACCATACGATTTATCGAATTCGTTCCTATGCATTGAGTTTTTCGTTCGCTATTGAATAAAATGCCACGATCCAGTCGTTCAAATATAGGCCGACGTACGCGTCTTGCGAACATGATGTTATCGCAAAGAAGATCGCAAAATGTTGCGGAGCAATCCCAACAAAATGAAGTACGACGTGGACGGTATGCGCAGAATACAGCTGTAGAATCACAGCGTCCAAGAAATCCACCACGAGCCAGTCGTTAAAATATAGGTCGACATGCGCGTCATGCGAACATGATGTTAACGCAAAGAAGATCGCAAAATGTTGAGGAGCACTTCCAACAAAAGGAAGTACGGCGTGCAGGATTTTTCATTAATTTTTCAATATTTGGTGTAGAGAAGCACACCGGGGTACCGCTAGTTCATATATAAATTCAAGTTCGTATTTCAGAAAGAATCGCTTAACTTCAAAAATGTTTATCTTATTTTAATGACTAAGGTATCGATTTATTAGCTAAGAAATGTACACTAAAGTAATAGCACATATTTGACCAATTTTATTGAAATTTTTGCAATAAGCGATGGTCAAACTTGAGAAAATTAAGAAAAATAGATTGTTTTTAGGTTTACCCGATGAAGCCTCCAAACAATAGATTTACATATGTATATAATTTTAAAGTTATATAAATTCGCTTTACGAAACATACATACATATGATCTTTAAAATTGAAATAAGTCATGTTATGTATAGATGTTTCGGATTTCGAAAACTTGCCAAAGATGTAGTTTTTATTTGTCATTGCAAAACAGGTAAAATTTATTCTACAAGAAAAGCTTGATAATCGAAAGATTTTGGAAATTTTGTTTCTATATATGCGTAAGTTAAAGAATTTTTACAAAGTCAGACATCGTTTAAATCATAATACTTACATGTGCTTGGTCTTGTAAGTTCTCTATTTGTACAGGATCTTTAAGTCCCCTGGTTTCAGGTCGGAATAAAACTATTGCTTTCATACAAGCGAATTCTGCAGGATCAACTAAAACTGCCTTGTATTTGTAAAAAATTTCGTGTAATGTTCGTACACTGGCAGCTACCTAGAAAAATTAGTTAGAAGTTATTATATATTTTTTTTAACTACATAACTATGTAGGTACATTTGAGTGGTCCAAAAATGCATGTGAAAAAGTAAAGTCGGAATTTTAACCCCCTGAAATTGGTCTATACCCAAAAATAATTTACCTCTATTTTTTATTTCGAAATCAAAGAATATTTAGAAGTTGCTCAAAGCGCTCAAAGTTGTCCATGTATTTTATATGGGGAAAAACAACTTTTCGTAGAAATTGTATAAATTTCTTCAAAATCAATATTTTTAGTTTCTGATTATCTTCAGGAGACTCCCAATAATAATACCTAATTACTTATTTAAAAATTTTTTCATAGTAACTATATTTATATATATATTTTATAGGTCCGCCAAAAACCCTTAATATGCAATAGGAGGACCTATTCATAAAAAACAATTGGGTATTATTATTGAACGTCTCCTGAAGAGAACCAGAGATTTCCGATCGAAAAATATTCATTTCCAAGGATTCTATACCATTTCTACGAAAAGTTTATTCCCATATAAAATACATTGGAAAACTTTGAGCGCTTTGAGCGACCCCTAAATATTTTTTGATAAAAAAATAAGGGTATTTTTATTAGGTACGGGACAATCCTAGGGGGTGAGAGCATTAAAATCCCGACTTTACTTTTTGGACAACCCTAATGTACATACTTAAGTATATATGTATACATATTTAGTTTAAAGGGGATATAAAATAGAATTTTAACTTAGGAGCTTATATTTACTGAGTCCAAAAATAATTGTATTTCCTACGAGTTGTTTTCGGGACTTTGACTTTCATAGGAAACACAAATTTGCATCAAAAACTGCATTTATCACGTTATTAAGTTTGTACATAAAAACCTTTTTAGCGACTTCCGTGAATGAGGTATAGCGCAACATTTACGTTGCATGCCCCAGCCGTTTCCAGGCATAGTAAGACTAGGGATGTTCCGATACAAGTAAATACGAGTATATAGTCGATACTTTTGTTTCGATACCAACTACTTTTTTTACTCGAATCGTTGTTTCGATACCTACTTGGTATCGAAAGAAAAGTACTTGTATCGAATCGATTTGACCAAACGCCATATCATGTCGGCCATATTTTTTCTATGGAAGAAACTTTCCACAGCGTCGTTTTTATGAAAAATAACTGCTTTAAGCAATCACACCGCCAAAATCTAAAGTATGGATATATTTTTACAAAGTTAGTGATACCACAGCAAAGTGCTTTAAAGCCGTAAAGTTTTGTGGGAACCTTTCAAAGGTTGAATTTTTTCTTTAAGTAATTTTATTACCTCTAACGTTACTAATGAATGAATACACGTATCGACACTTAAGTGGAAGACCGATCTATCTCGGCAGCCAGTTCTAAACGCTTTTTCTCAGAAAACTTCAAGAACGCCCTATTTCAGATATGGCATTTTTGAACCGAATTCTGAAAAAGGGCGTTTTTGAAAACTTTTCTGAGATAGGGCATTTTAGAACTGGCTGTCGACATAGGTTGATCTTCCACTCACTGTGTTGTAAATACAATAAAAATTAAAAACCAAAAGTGTTTAAAGTTAGTAAGTTATTTAGGCCGTGTCATATAAAATGTGTCGCCATGCAGGAAGCGAGACGTATTTGCCGCAATAAGAACAGAGAGGCCGAAATACGTGAGTGCGAAGTGCTTGAGATGCTGGCCGACAGGAAGAAGGCCCGAAAATTCTACCAGAGGGTTAGGCGACTTAGGGAAGGTTTAAAGACCGGGGCGAACTCCTGTAAGAACAACAATGGCGACATAGTGACCGATGTCCAGAATATACTTAAATTGTGGAGGGAACACTTTTATAACCTACTGAATGGTAGCAGCGCTTAAAGTAGTGAAGAATACGAACCCGAGTCCCCAGTCGATGATGATGGAGTAGCTGTCCCACCGCCTGACTATGACGAGGTACGAATAGCGATTACGCGACTGAAAAACAACAAAGCTGCTGGAGCTGACGGCCTGCCAGCCGAGCTATTCAAGTACGGCGGCGAGGAGCTGATGAGGTGCATGCATCAGCTCGTATGCAGAATATGGTCAGATGAACGCATGCCCGACGACTGGAATTTAAGTGTGCTCTGCCCAATCCACAAGAAAGGCGACCCCGCCATACGCGCCAACTACCGCGGAATTAGCCTTCTAAGCATAGGTTACAAGGTCTTATCGAGCGTATTGTGCGAAAGACTGAAGCCCACCGTCAACGAGCTGATTGGACCTTATCAGTGTGGCTTTAGGCCTGGAAAATCCACCATAGATCAGGTATTCACAATACGCCAAATCTTGGAAAAGACCCGCGAGAATAGGATCGACACACACCATCTATTTGTCGATTTCAAAGCCGCTTTCGACAGCACGAAGAGAAGTTGCCTTTATGCCGCGATGTCTGAATTTGGTATCCCCGCGAAACTAATACGGCTGTGTAAAATGACGTTGAGCAATACCACCAGCTCCGTCAGAATAGGGAAGGACCTCTCCGAGCCGTTTGATACCAAACGAGGTTTCAGACAAGGGGACCCCCTTTCGTGTGATTTCTTTAATCTTATGTTGGAGAAGATAATAAGAGCCGCAGAACTGAACCGCTCAGGCACAATACTTTATAAGAGCGTACAATTGCTGGCGTATGCCGACGACATCGATATTATCGGTAAAAACAAGGGCTACGTCTGTTCTGCCTTCTCGGGATTGGATAGAGAAGCAAAGCGAATGGGTCTGGTGGTGAACGAGGACAAAACGAAGTATCTCCTGTCAGCACACAAACAGTCAGAGCATACGCGTCTTGGCACCCACGTCACTGTTGACAGTTACAAGTTTGAAAAAGTAGACGACTTCGTTTATTTGGGAACCAGCATTAACACCAATAATAATGTCAGCCTTGAAATCCAACGGAGAATCACTCTTGCCAACAAGTGCTACTTTGGGCTGAGTAGGCAATTGAGAAGTAAAGTCCTCTCTCGTCGTACAAAGATCACACTCTATAAGTCACTCATCATGCCTGTGCTGGTGTATGGCGCGGAAGCATGGACAATGAAAGCATCTGATGAGGCGGCTCTTGGAGTTTTCGAGAGAAAGATTCTGCGAAAGATTTACGGACCTTTACGCGTTGGTGATGGCGAATATCGCAGACGATTTAACGATGAGCTGTATGAGCTTTACAACGATATAGTCATAGTGCAGCGAACTAAAATTCAGCGGCTCCGCTGGATTGGCCATGTCATTCGAATGGACAGAAACGCTCCTGCTCTGAAAATATTCAACGCGGGCCGCGATGCTGGTAACAGAGGAAGAGGGGGGCCCCCACTGCCATGGAAAGATCAGGTGGAGAAAGACTTGGCTTCACTTGGGATTTCCAATTGGCGTCAGTGACTGGCGTGCTGTTTTGGACTCGGCCAAAATCGCTTAGGCGGTTAAAGCTCCAATTAAGAAGAAGAAGAGAAACCCATTTAAATAGGTATCGATACTTTGATGGTATCGGAACGTCGCTAAGTACGACGATCACATCGGCCTTGATATAACTAGCTTATACGGCATGGTAAAACCGCTCCCCTCGTTCTTCGTTATATGATACACGATTCTCTGGGAATTGGTCAAGATGAGTGTGGAGGGAGTGCAATTTGATAGGCATTTTACATCATACGATAATAAAGCTCTCTAGGATGTCGTTTATGATTTCGGAGAAATTCCTTTATTTATAATGTCCCAGAAAGTTTTTAGTCATTTCTACAAACGAAGCGCACGCAGGGCGTCCCAAGTCATTCCATGGACTTAAGGATATCAGCAGCTTTTACTAATATTATTATATGCAAAAATAATATTAGATCGGCGCTTACACAATATGATAGTGTTTGGCCGAGCTTCTCCTCTGATTTTAGGTGTGGATATCAGCAGCCTTTACTAATATTATTATATGTAATAATATGTAATAGATCGGCGTTTACACAACATGAAAGTGCTTGGGCGAGCTTCTCCTCTGATTTTAGGTGTGCGCATTGAAGTTGTCACACAAAGGGAAGGGATCTACAGTTTTACGCCGACTCCGAACGGCGATTGTATTTTTATGAGAAGCTGTTTTTCATGACTGAATATACTCGGAGGTTTGTCATCGCCTGCCGAGTGGGGGCCGCAAATAGGAAAAACATTTTTTGCTTTTTATTTTTAGCAGTTGTTCGGAAACTGGGTTCGACCCAGGCCTTGCAGAATGGTATCGTGCATGCTTACCACTACATCACAGCGGTAGGGTTGCCAACATTTCCTAAGATATTTATAGTACTGAAAAAGACTGGAATAATATATGTAGTACACTTCAAATATACATGGAATTTTACTCAAAAGAAAAAGTAAACACGCTTTTTAGGTAATGGGAAAAGTTCTTCCTGTGAATGCCGAGTTGCTGAAATAGAGAGTACGCAATATATGGCATACTCTTGGAGAAAAATTGGAGCTATTGTAAAAGGGGCGTGGCACCTCCCATACCAACCGAACTTTCCATATTGCATATCTCAGGAAGGGTTCCTGGTAGAGTTCTGAAACTTGGTATGGAGGTATACGAAATCAATCGCATACTCTTGTAGAAAAATTGGAACTATTGGAAAAGGGGGCGTGGCACCTCCAATACAAATCAAATTTTCCATACTACTTATCTCTGGAAGTGTTCATGGTAGAGTTGTGGAACTTTATATGGAGACATACGAAATCATTCGCATACTCTTGGAGAAAAATTGGAGCTATTGGAAAAGGGGACGTGGCACCTCCCATACAAAACCAATTTTCATACTGCATATCTTTGGATGTGTATGGTATAGTTCTGGAATTTGGTACGGAGATATACCAAATTAATAGCATACTCTTGAAGAAAAATTGGAGCTATTGTAAAAGAGCGCGTGGCACCTCCCATACCAACCGAATTTTTGATATTGCATATCTCAGGAAGGGTTCATGATAGAGTTCCGGAACTTGGT